ATGACCCCTAACCCTCTATCTCTCTAGGCCCGACAGTAGAGCTGGCTTTTTTTTCTTCTTAGTGTTCTCTTTAGCCTTTTGTTTTTTGGAAATCACTACGGATTCGTAAGTTTTCTCCGGGCCCGGGAAAAAATTCCCAGCTCTCCTCTCGGCGATCCTGATCTCTCTCCCCCTAATCTCCAAAATGAAATAGCATCAAAGTTCTATATATATATATATATATATATATATAGGGTTTAGCAATGTTGGCATTAATGCTATTAAGTTTTAGTGATTAAAGGTTGAGGAGGAGCAAGAGAGAGTCGTGCCATCACAGGATCGTGAGGATTAGACTTACTGAAGATTTTACTTGTTATCAGCATTTACAATATTTTATAAAACTCATCACTACCCTCAAAATAAGCATTTTGCCATTTTATAATAATTAATAATATAAAAGTTATTTTTCAAATAAAATCTCATAACAGCCAACAAAGTTACATAACTTGCTGAATTTTTTTCTTTCCTGTTTTCACAAATTAATCTTTGAATTTCAATTCAAGAAATCACTATTCAAAACTGTATGAAATTTGATCATTTTTGAAATTCGGCACTTGGGCAATATGTAAGTTTTGCTGCAAAGTTGCTTGGTTTATTTAATTATGAAAGCATGACACAGGAAATAAAAATTATGGTTTTAACATGACTGGAATATTCATTGTTGCAAGTTAAGTTAAAACAACAATTATCAAGATGGAATTTCAATATAAAACAGTATAAGTTAAATTTACCTAACCTTAAGATTCATTGGTCTAGCAGCTTCAACAATTTGAGATGACAATTTGAATTTTGTAATCATTAGTTTGCACATCTGAATATCAAAATGTCCAAAATTATCTGCTGCTACATAATGTAAGGGTTTAGAAAGTTGATTCTAACCTCAAAATAAAAAAAAAATCTACCAAAGTTACAGTTAGTGTTGCAGATTTCTATGACTGGATCAAAGGACACTTCAAAATGATTAATGCTACCACTTTCAAACTTTCATGGTATCCCATCCTACCCCAACAGAGTGGAATTGAAGGAATTTTTAGTTAATAACTAAGCATCCTTTTTTCCCTCATGCAGTTTAGTGGTTTGGATATCTGGCTTTCACCCAGAAGGCCTGGGTTCAATGCCCAACACGGTGATATTTTAGTCAGATAGATGGCTATGATGGTTAAAGCATCAGCCTACTGTTCTGCAGAACCCAAGATTAAATCTGGGTGGTCTGTCCTTCACCATCTGGTCATCCCAATATGGGCCAGACTGATACTTGATGGGAATGACAAAAAGGTTCTCTTAGTGCCCACAGAATGAAAAAATAAAAACAAAAAAAATTGTTCATATTTTTAGATTTTGATTTTAAAATTATAGTTTTTCACATTGACTACTAATATGTGCAAATTTTTGTTTAAAATATCTAATAATAAACCATAGCTTTCTGTGGGAAAGATATGAATGGATAGATATTTAAGGATAGGAATATCCGTGCAGAAATTTGCCACTGTCATTACAAACCAACGGCATTGAAAAATGAAAATAAAAGACAAATTGCATCTTTTTCTTTCAATAAAAAACAATGACAGTTTAGTTAAAATAAAAAAAATATTAAACACTTTCCATTCACATAAATGCACTAAATCATAAAAAATAAATTTTCTTTAGTTTTCACAGTATTCTTGATATTACGTGATTAAAAACGAAAGCACGGGGAGCTCACAGGAAGCCGATAAAAATCGATAGAAAAGATAGCCGAGTATTTCCGAACACGAGTGCCACATTCTTTTAAGAAAACAACAACACATTTGGAAGTTTTTCTAATCATTAATTAAACTAAATTTTTGTGATAACTCAGGATGTATTTTCTTCATAATTGAAGTTTAGACTATTTACAAAAATTACAAAGAAAAGACATCCAGAGTTATCACAAAAATTGTAAATATACGCAAATAACGTAGACACCTTGTAACTACCACTAGAGAGCCAGAAGCAGTTTAAAAGTGGATAAAAATAATATGGCGCGAAGAATTTTGCGTTTTTAACGTAAAAGTGTCAGGACCTACAAGAAAAGGCTGGCACTCGATCTCTTTTAACATTGTGGAGTTTTCTACCAATTTTTTACCTTTGTTTAAGAAGCGTTCTTCAAAGCAATTTTAGACCGTTAATTCCGTGGCGGCGTATAAGGGATTAAAAGATAGACTCGACAATTTAATTTAATTTTTGTAAATAGTCTAAACTAAATTTTCTCGACACGCCACTATTTATCAAAAATATTAAATTTCAATACCGAGACTGGCTTTTTAAATCCAACAAATATCTTAGAATACACAACATACCATAACATTATACCACAAAACAATTGATTTTTCATCATAATCCAATATAACTTCGAATGTAATTAATCGTAATATACACACACGGTAGTCACAAATTCCGTCCGCCAAGCAATATAGGATTTATTTTTGAAATATTCCCTAAAACAACAAATCAGATGTCTCCTTATAGCCCAGACTTAAACTTTAAGAATTTACGTCGAATTATTGTAAAAGAGCTCACCCTACAACTGTAGAATATCTAAGAAAACTCAAAAATAGCTTCAATGACTTAACATCGAATTGAATTTGTGGCCATCGTATATAATTTTTACTTATTTATTGTTGATATTTTCGAAAATTTTAAAAACATAATTTTGCCAATAAAATAGTATCTGTACCTAATGTAAATAAATAAACAAACAATCATTGGCAAGATAGAATACTTTCACTTTCTGTTTACCAACGTTTGTTTTCAGAGGGGGAGAAAATACTCAAAGGATTCTTACCGAACAAAAAGCAATACAACAGAAATTTCTAATTAAAAACTATTCAATTACAACTTTAATCAAATGTTATCAAATTACCGTAAAGCCTTCTCCTTGCTCGGTCTTCACTATTTGACATATTTCTTCCGCTTTTTGTTTGCCAGTGATCTTGTAAACAGCCATATTTACTTAATCCGGACGAATTACACTAAATATCTGACGACTTCATTATTCATTTTAATGTTATTTGACGTTTACCGACGAAAACGGATAACTTATAATTGGCGACGAATAACCGCCCATTGTTGATATTATGGAGACGGGCTTCAAGAAGTGTTGCCGTATGGACAGCGGATGTAAAAGTCTAAACAAACCTAGCGTTAATATGGTTGATTTTCCTTATAAATATATAGTTTTCTGTTAGATAATATGTATTAGTTTATAATAAAAAGTTAATATCGTAAAAATAAGTTTAAGTACAAACTTTTTATGTAAATGGTTGGAACCTTTTACGTTTTTGTCTATTTCCGCTCTGTAATCACCACAGCCCTTTTTTCTAGGCTCATAGTGGATTCGACCGGGACCGCAATGGTGTTGAGAGAGAACGAACTAGAATATACTACATAGAATGGTTGTAGCGACGCCGTGTTTAAAGAAAATTTGAATACGCGTCCGCCATTTTCTTTTTAGTCAAGGAGCGTGCCACTTGTTTACAGGCAATGAGCTGGAATACAACGGTGATTTGCTAATTATGACTCGAAATCACTCTCGGATATCTTTCGTTCTATTTGTCGAATATAAATCAAATTTTGAAACCTGGTAGATGTCACTTTTCTTTACATTCTAAGAACATTTGAGTTCAATTGTTATAAAAGTGGAGGCAGCAGTTACGAGCGAAGTTGATGTGTGCATCGAGCTTCTTTCCGAAGATCTTTCATCCCGCGCTGTTGTAAAAGTCCTCAAGAACAATGGAATTCAAGTTTCCCAGTCTACAATTATCAGAGTTCTTGATAACAGAACGAAAAAGTGATAAGCGAATACTTCTGTGAGTTACGCCCAATATTTCCAAGGGCTTACGAATCTCTGAGTAAGGATAAGATAAGGAAAATTAAGAAAATGATTAGAAAAGAAAATCCACTTACCCAGAAAACCATAGCGAAACGTCTGGGTATATCTCAGTTCACAGCAGTGGCGTAGCGTAATGGCACTTTTTAGGGGGCGGCAAAATTTCACAGTAAATAATAATAATATCTTGTAAAAATTTGAACCATTTTATTTCATATTTTCGTCGCACCTACGATTCGGACCGATTGAAATGAGCACGGAATAGTGTTACCAACCGGACAGTCAGGGAATCGACTCACCGTCCGGGTGAACTATTAACTTTACCCGGCGATGTCGTGCGCGACCTGTCAACCTTTTTTTTTTTGCTTGTAAGATTCATTCGTAGTCATATACACCTCCAATATCCAATAGAGCTAAGTCATCTAGGTTACCTACGTTACTCCTACCCAAGCCTCCCCAGTCCCTAACTGTAACTGATTTTAAACCGGCATGCACTGCACATTATTCTTCGCATTGCGAAATGACATACGCACGCGTCAGGAACTTCTGTTCGAACAAACCTCACCCGCCGTCCGGGTCGGCAATTTTAAAAAGGTGGCGACGCTAGCACGGAATTTTTCATTACTTATTCTGTGACGAAACTGAATTTTAGTCTATTAAATTGAGATACCTAAATAAGGGGACGAGGAAATTTTCCTTTGCCCCGGGCGGCTGACACCCACGCTACGCTACTGGTTCACAGTTAACACCGTTAAACTTCTCGGTGTCGTATTTTAAAATATCAAAAAGTGATTCGATACGCTTTGGAGTACATTTTATATTTATTTATTAAGATTTTAAATTCATATTTCTTATATGTAAAATAACGATAACATAATATAAATAAAATAAGATCCGGTACAATAAAAATAGCATTACCGTGTAAATGCGGTAAAAAGTTTATTTCTGAAATTTGAAATAATATAAGAGTGCTTTTAAGCACACTTATGCTTTATTTTCACCATACCTATTATTAATACCCCCCTTAGAACTCAACCATATCGGTGGTCTCTCTTTTCTGTCCTTTCACCTTTCATCTGGCTTATCACACCAAAACTGCCGACGGGTATTTTAAACTGCACGAAGACAAAATAATATTCAAATACTATATAAAAATACAGTAATTTTGAAACGAAAAACAAAATTAATAATTCATATAGTTGACTTGAAAATTTAATAATTGTTTCGATGCTATTATTACAGAAACAATGATGATGATTGTTGCATTGTAAGGCCGTTTATTTCATAATTTATTGCTTATAATGTCGAGTGCCCGGGAGCACGCTTTCGTCTGACGTGGAATCCGGAAGCTCGAATCCGAAGATTCTTATTATAGTTACGATATTTATTATTACAGGAATGCTAGATACTTAGCGCCAGGTATACCACAAATTACACGCACCGTCTGACCCGGTTTGGAGTGCAATAAACTGTCCTCGGCGCCAGGTGGGTATTAGTCCGTCAATCGGAACGAATTTCAGGTTCGGAAACAAATGGATGGACAAGATAGACGACGTCGTAATGCTGGTGTTTGCAGAGGAGCGGCGAAAAGATAGAAAGACATCGAAGTCTTCGATCCACGACTGCACTATATCGAGGATGAAGAAGCACGAATTTCGTTATTTGGACGATTTCGACGGTTTCATTACAACATATTCTTACAAACACTTCTCGCCGTAACATTCACAATTGAACCATTATCTAGTTTGTTCGTCGCATCCAATATTTACATATCACGCTTCGTTATAGTAAACGACACCGTTACATAACACCAACACTGCTTCCCGAAATCCAACCCGTAGGTCCTCGTCCTGGGAAGTGGAAACGTCACTCGATGTTTTCGAGTGGCGGCTAAAGGGGCTCTGGTACTTCTTATGCAACTTTGTCAACACAGATGTAAGGATATTTAAAATGCTAAAACTTTCTAAAGATATTTTCATTGAAGAGCATGGATGCTGTGTTTCATAAGTATAAGGGAATCATGTAATTTATATATATATGAAAATGTTTGTTTGTTTGTATCGCTATACACTCCTAGGACGTTCGACCAATTGCTACGAAACTCGGTAGTTCTAACTCAGATCACTTCGCATATCCCATCCCTGAATATCTATTGAATTTCTGTGAATCAATTAATTTCTATCTACATTCAATTTTCTGATTTACACGTAGCGCCATATATTGGCAATAAATTTAACAAAATCATAAATTAAATATAATTCTTTCAAAACAAAATATAATTTTACATTCGCTCAATGGACATAGCTATTGCTTCATCTGTATCAAAGCCAACAGTAAAAAAAAAAATTGCAATAAAAATACAAATTTAAAAATTAAAACAGTAAAGCACGTTGAAACTTTACTAATCAAAATTAAATATAAAATTATAAAAATTCATGTAGCGGCTTGCAAATGAAGATCTGCAAGCCGCTACCAAGAAAAAAGCATCTGGACATCGCCTCACATCTACACACAAACAGAACCGAAATACTAACGCAAGGAAGCTCTATGAGAATCATCTGGCTGGAGGAAAAAGCAAGTTCATGACCATCCTAGATGAAGCGTATATATTCCTTGATTATTGTAATGGAACTTGAAAAATTCTGTACGTGTAGCCCGGACAGGAAGTGCCAGAACAATGACTTCTCAAATGTTACGAAAGATGGCCTGAAGATTTATGATTGTTGGAGGAATGACGGGCCAGGAACACTTCCCCTTAACACAGTGCCAAAAACTGTGAAAGTTAACGCTACTTACTATGTGGAAAACATTTTGAAACTATATTTGGAACGTAAGATTCCAAAGCTGTATCCTGGAGAAGCTAAAGCGACTCTTCACCATGACAAAGCGTCTAGTCACACAGCTAGATATACAACCACTTATCTCCAGAAGTTGAAGGCTGACTGTCGACCGAAACAAATTCCTGTAGAGGACATACCCATCAAAGCACTTGACATCAGCCTCATGGATTTCCTCGGATTTGACTTTCTGAAGCAACGTTTTTCTTCGTAAGGCTACAACATTAGATGATCTTTGAAAAGTAATTCAACAGGAGTGGTCATCGGTATCGGTCGAAACTTACAAGGTCTTCGAATCATGGAGACGACGACGTCATGCTGTGAGCCAACGAGATGGAGAACACATCGAGCAGACAAAGACGATTCATCGACGGGTGCTTCGTGAAATAAATTAAACGAAAAAGTGAGTCACAACTTGAAAATCACCCTCTGTATTCTAATTCGTTGAGTAAACGTAAGCAAAGGAAAGAAATTGTGGTGAGGATCAAAATACTCTACTTAGTTTTTTATTTAAGTTTAAAAATAAATAACAAGACCTTTCCTTTTCCTTATAGAGGAGTGTATTGATATTCGCTTTTACTCCGAAGAGAAGAGAGACAGGAGATAGATCGCAAGGCGACAGAAGAGCTAGCCTTATAGAAGACGGCCAGAAGATACACGAAGGGAGATAAAATGCCTTCCGGGAGGACTTTTTTGGGTAGCTGGCCCCTATTTAGGCGTCATCTACAAGGAGAAAACCCGGAAAACTCCAAGCTGCCAGCCTGTCCAATCGAGGCGCGAATCCGCAACCGAACGCCCAGTGTTTAGGGTCTAGTCACCGCCGCTATGAGCGGAGACGGAGTCTACTCGGCTACTGGTTGGAACAAGACATTGCTTTCTTTAACCCTTTATTTAAACGTTTCTAAACAAGACAAAATATTCTGTAGCGGTAAGTTAAATACAATTCTAAACATTCTTAATTAATTTTACTTTCCCAGCTATTATGTATACATAAAAAGGGAAAGTATTGAAATCGCATCAAATTTGACCCTCAGAGTTTTTTGCAAATCTTCACGTTTTGAGACCTCCTTAACCCAAAAATAGAAAAAAATGTTCCATTTGTGTGTGTTGACGTCTGTAAGAAACGAAATTTGGCATGAAAGCTTGTATATAAGCATTGATGCTATTAAATTTCCGTGGTCAAAGTTAAATGGGTGAGGAGATAGAGAAGTGTCATAGGTCATATTTCGAGAGAGGTCGGACTTAATGATGTTATTCGTTATTTACATTTATAATTTGTAAATTGGAAACCATTTGTCAGTAGAGGGAGACAAATTATTTAGTAATTAATTTAAAATAATCGCGATATAATAGCCCGATATAATCCGGAAGTTGTTGGCTTATTACATGGAATTTCTATTGTAAAATCGTTTAATAACACTGTATTGTTGAACATGGTTTCTTTAATAAAGATGCTATACCCATCGCTACGTTGATTGAAAATAATCTCTCTTTGCTGTATGAATAACTCCTTTCTTTTATCCATCGACATCTGCCTAAATTTTTTCTTTTTCAAAATTTAGATCAAACGCATTACACTTTAGATAGAGTGACCATCCGTCCCCGATTTCCAGGGAAAGTGCTCGTTTTTGCCCTGTCTCCGGCAAGGAAACGTCCACAGAATGGAGTCTTATCCCCGTTCTTTCGTTTCCTCGCGTTTACCGTAATATTGTCGCTCACACAGTTTTTCCGCCAGAGGAAACGCCCAATGTCTTCGGCATTCCAGGTAATTTTTTAAATGAAGCAACCAATGTTTTAAGGAAATGCCAGAGGAGTCAAGTTTTATAACGAAAACGAGCAATTATTTATTGTGGCATCGTTAAAATGCCAGGCAGCAATTTGTCGTTACAATGTTTTCAACGTTTAGTAGTGTCTTGCCCCTATACATCACACTTTTCCTTTAACAATAGAGTCGTGCCGGTCATCTATTTACTGTTTTCAGGGAAAAAGTTTTGAATTGAAATAACGTGACTTCCAGTTTTCATCGGAAGTTCGTATATAGTTAGTTGGAACCTCCCGCCCCTAAGGTTTCCATATCTGTTCTCGTCTTTCATACATTGGTGAGTGGTTTGTTTTATTTTATATAAATTTCAATCTAAATATTTTTTTCTATCTGTCCTATAAGACGACCCCGATTTTTTAAAAAGCTTTAAAATTCACAACCGTATTCCGACTGCAAGATTCCGTCCATTAGTTTTCATCTATCAATAGTTTGAAAACTGAAGAGTTACCCCATTACGTAGTTATTGTTAGTCGCATAAATGAACTACTGGACCAAGTTCACACGCGTAGTCATTTGTCAGGCGAGGTAAAACTATGGTACGATACTCCAACATTAGGATGTAAATGAACATAATGCTCTATTTTATCATTCCGATCAAACGAGAGTCGTAAATAGTTCTATGAATATGCATAATTATATGACGTTGTAATTGTCATAACAAGTAACACTCTTAAAATATTATAATCTCCATTATTAATGTTTAAATTTTAAATAAATTATTAAAGCTGAAAAATATAAATCCAAACTTTAAAAATTTTCATCACACAAAATTTTCTTGTGTAAATTTTCTGCATTCTGAATTATTGAAAGATTTAATAAAAAAAAAGAAAAAAAGCATTCACAAACCAAATATTTGCAATAATTAAGATAAATTTCTATAGAATGACTAGAATGTTATATACAAATTTAAGTATCCACGAAAAATTAGCAGCATTAAAATAATATAAATTACAATTTTCACTGTATATAATTTAGTGCCGACATGTCATAGCTCTAATCGTAACTGTGTATATTTCTGAGATGATGCTTAAAACAACTAGTAGTAATAAGCTTCCAAAAATGCAATATTTCACTAGCGGATAAAAAATTCGGAATAATCAATTTGTTTACGTCAACAATTTTCTTATACTGTACTTTATCACAAAATAACACTAAAATTTTGTCTTCAGTTTTCAGATTTACGTAAGAAGAGTGCGTATTAATTTGTTAAACGAGTTAAAAGTTGAAAATCTTATATAAAATAGGTATTAAAGTACAAGAAAAACGGAACGTAAATTGTCTGATTACTTCGAAAATGAGGAGTTTCCCTTCTGCAAAGTACTGTATTAATTAATAAATAAATTGTAAGATTTTCCAAGTCATTCGAAAACAAATAAATCTTTAAACGAACGGATTTATTTTCGTTCGATTCAGTTGTTATTAGTTTTATTATAACAAAAAATCTGAAATCGCACTCTTCTACTGCGAATAATGCAGAATCCGACACGTAAAAGCTAAAATAAGGTAATGTAAATAGCATTCTATAATATGTCAAGAATACGTGAATAAATAAACAACAACAACAACAACTGTTAAGGCTACTTTTTAATCTCTAGAAATGAAATAAAATTATTTGTCTGCATTCTGTATAATAATTATCTTAAATATAATAATAAAAACTTTAGAGAACATCAATTATATTAGAAATATAAACTTTTATTCTATTGAAAAAAGGCACATTCAAATGATTTTCTTTTGTTTTCATACAAATTTTCAAAATAAATTTATATATATATATATATTTGTAGTAAATTTATTAAGCGTTTCACAAGGCACATGTTTATTTATTTACCAAAAACACAAATTATTATTAGTTAAATTCTAATAGCAAAATTACAATTGATGAAATTAGATAAACTGAGAAACAATATACAACATATATATATATATATCTTTTAAATTAATTCCTTTATCAAATAAGTCAATTCCATAATTATAAAAAATTTTTAGAAAGGAGAGAAAAATATAACACAATTTTTTACTCTTTTTTCTTGTATTTTTATGGCACTACACACAATTTTTCTTGTTTATAACCAAAACAAACAGAAGCATAAAAATACGAAGTAATTTTTTCTTAAACGTTATCGTTAATAACTCTCTCTCTAAGAAAAATGTACGTAAAAATTCGTGTCACATTCGTACCGAAACCCAATACTGCAGAGATACAATCCAACAATGAAAAGATTTAAAAAAAATTAACTCGAATATATTCGTGGAATGATATAAAAAAATTTTCGTTTGGCTACACGATATAAAAATTTCTAGAAAAGCTCCTAACACACACAATTGTGAAATGAGATCATGGTTAGTGCTGCTACTCGGGGAACGCCCCTTGTCGAGAATTATCACAATTTCGTGGGAATTCTTTGGAAGAAATGTAACTTTTGCAGCTACTGAGCACTCCCACGTTTAAAAATCCAAGGCACTGTGTAATAACTAACTATATAAAATCTAATTATATAAATCCAACTTTGTGCTTTTTTTTTCTAGAGATCATACGAGAGAACTCACAACCGAGCAATTTATTATTTACGATAATACAGTTCTGATTCCATCAGCAAAGCTGCAATTATCACGTTATTTTATTTTTTAATTTTTAAATCGAGAAATTTTATCAACAATCATTCATTGCTAATAAAATTATTATTATTACAATAACAATTCTCTCTAACGTCAACGTCGTCATATTAGCAAACAATTTATGATCACAAATTCTTCATCTAACGCAAGATTATACTCCAGCATCTTTTTATAAACAATAAAAAACAAAATGCTGATATTTTCTTATTACATTACATCTTACGTAAATATCTTAAATACAATTGTATTAGTAAAATCTTCATTAATAAAATTAATAATATAATAATAATAATAAATTTAATCATCTTTTCTTAGAACAGAAAATGTTTCCCACAATTTGAATGAAAGTATGACGAATAAAAACCGATAGAAATCGTTATCATCAATTTTGAATCAGAAGTTTATTGTCAAAGCTGCCAGAACGGCTGCATTGCAGCAATATGAAGAATTCCATAGAAATTTATTTTAGTTTCTCCATCAAAATATAATTTTAAGTATAACTTTCATTAAGTTTAGTTTAATCTTAGTTAATTTTTACTTTATACATCCTAATTTAAAATATGATTTAACTACATTTTATAAAATAGTAATTAATAAAAATTTTTTGATTTATAAAATTTTCAATATTAACTTTACTTATTGTAGCCGGCAGATTTGATCCAAAAAAATAAAAATGATGCTCGATAAAAGAACTATCGATAATAACCGGATAAGAATGTATGCCAAGCGGACAAACAGCCATTAAGTTTAAATGTCTGTTAATTAAAATATCGACTTCATTCATTTTTACATTTATGGAAATGTGTATTAAGGAAACATAAAACTGTTACATAAATTTAGTCGATAGTTAAATTAACAAACATTTCAAGCTCATTTATTTTTCATATACTCCTATCCAGTAATTGGTTAGTTGCTTAAGAATAATACAAAGTCAGAAAAGATTACAAAAAAGAAATTTCTGAATATTATGTAATGAATACGTGGGAAGATAGATAAACATTTAGTGCATTTTAAAACCTGATATCTTTCCTTAGATAATTTTTATAAGAATGCATAGATTTTATCCAAGATTATGAATTCAGATAACAATATAAAATTTGTTATATATTTTTTAAATATTATCTAATACTTAAAGAAAAAAAATACAAAAATTAGTATATTTCAAATTTTAACAGATAATATTGCACAATTTGATCATTTTAAGCTAAAGCTATTGTTTTTTTTTTTCCGAATGTCAAAAGCTCTGCTATTTACTTACATTTTTATTATAAGTAATTTGCAACTCGTTATTGCTTACTAATTTAATAAATTTTCAAAAAATTTAGTTATTTACAATAATTGAAGTGCCTACAAAAATATAAACTATTCTTAAATTGCACTGTAATAAATTGTGGCAAGTTAATTAAATTATTTGTAATTTTTGGTTTAAACAATATTTAAAAGATTTCACTATTCAATAAAATGAATAATAAATCTTTTCTTTAGACTTTATAATTTTAATAAAACAAAAATCATTATGCTGTAATTAATTAATCTTTACTTATATTTAAAGAATATGTCATTATTTGCTGGTAAACTTCCTTGATTCTGAATTAAATCCAATAAAAGTTAACTAAACTGTTATAAGAAATCAATAAACTTCAAAGNATAAAACCATTGAACACTGGTACTTGGTCATGGATTTGTGCCTCTCCAACGGACTGGCCATGTGGAGTATTTTGGATTTTCTTCACATTTATAACACCTAAATAAGGTATAGTTTTCCTCAAAAGCCCTCCCTAGGCATATTGCCCACATGTTATGTTTGCTACTCTATTAATGTGATAAATATTAAATTATCATAATTATTAAATTTGATAAGAGCTAGCACGTAACATCTATCTCTGATACCAAATTACTTAAAATTTAATTATTAATAGTAGCAAAAAATAGACCAATACATTACAACAATCATTTAGCTTTGATTAATAAAATGATTTGAAATGTTTACATGTATATATACACCATGCCTGGATAAAGCAATAACTGTCTGAGTGCCATAGTGGATGATTATAAAGGCTGTGGGTGTAGGCATAGTAAAATGCAATTTATAAAATATTCTTATAAAAAAATTACTTTTTCATGAATTATTTTATGAACTAGTAGAGAAAGATCTTTTTCTTTTCCAGCAGTCGGGATGTAATTTTTTTGTTTTCTCTGCCATCACTTTTGCTTCATATGCATAAGCATCACGTTCTTCACTTTTTAATTTTTTCCAATGATCTCCCAGTAAAACACTTATAGCTCTGAAAACAAAGCCAAATAATTCATCAAATGCAAAATTTTACTAAATCTGATTAACTACTAATTATTATATTAACAAGTAATATTCTATTATAATAACAGAGAAAAACTAGAAGTTTTCTTGTTAGTTTGCATTTCATTTCAAATAAATTATATTTTATAATATATCCTATGAGACTTTTGGAAATTTATCTAATATTTACAATGTAAGGCAAAAGTTATGCAAGCGTAGGAACTTTATTATTAATACTCTGAGTCTCATGTAAGAAATACTGCTTTAAAAAAAATAATTTTAGGTTGATGCAAACATGGTGTAATTAAAAAGAAAACCCAAATACACAGATGAGTGGTGTAGCCCAAGAGAGAGTTATCATACGGCTAGTAACATCTACAAGGATTGCTGTAAATTTGCCACTGGAAACCCTACCTTTGTGTCAAGGATCATTACAGGGAATGAGAATTGTGTTTACAGTTACAACCCAGAAACTGAACAGCAGTCACCTCAGTAGAAGAGATCATATTCACCAAGACCAAACAGACAGGAACATAATAAAGACCTTGTTGATAGTTTTTTGACCATGTGAGAATTATGTACCAGAAATTTGTTCCTATCAGATATTAAGTTCAGACCTTTACTGTAACATTTTGAGCCAATTGCATGAGGATGTTTATTGTCAAAAGACCTCAACAGAACCTGGTTCTTTCAACATGACAATACTTCTGTACACACAACCTTCAAAGCATGAGTATTTTGGAAGAAAACATGAAGACCTCTTTACCTTCCTTACTCACTATAAGGAGTAAAGTCTGATCATTATTTTATGTTTTGGGCATTATTTTTAGTTATAGTTATTTTCTTTTCAGGGTCTGTTTTAAGACAGAAACTCTTAAGAAACCCCCAAAATGTGTTAAATTCGAAAATAAGAATTTAAATATACTATTTACATCAGTGACTGATCCCATGATGTGCTGACATGTAAATAGAGTAATGCAGAGTTACACTGATAGACAAATAAATGATGATATACCTGTTCAACAGTGTGGTGTAGCTCCTAACAGCTATCTTTATCAAAGCAAATTGTCTGGCATTCTTTGATACACAATCAGCTCTTAAGAAGTATATTCTTTGTTTAATTATTTTGGTGGAGATTTGATTAATTATATGAAAAAGAATTTCTTTCATTCATTGATTGTTTATTTTGTATATAATTGATCTCTTGGCGACGGTTTTTTTTTTTGGAATATTTTAAATATATACTTATTACTAATTCTTGTTATAATCATTGTTATTTTATATATAACTAATACTGTTCAATATAATAAATATTATTGTGGGTTTTTAATTATAAAAGTGTTGTTTTGGATCATTATATTTTGCTTCCCATTAAGTCTAGGCCTGGTACTTGATTTGAACACTAAATTGTGTAACCCTGCCTTTTGTGTTGTGTGGTACTGTACATTACACCACTAGATTTAGTCTTTTGTAACATTGACTTCTTTTTTCTCCAGAACAAAATTGAAGCTCAAAGGGCAATGTTTTGATATGGTCCAGTAGATTCAGGCCAAATAACAACAGGTGCTTTGAAATTTTCAAGAAAAAACCTTTCAAGGAGCATTTAAGACAGAAGCAGTGGGACTGCTGTAGGAAGGACTACTTTAAAGGGAGATGGTAGCTAAATTCCGGTTAGTTAAGTGCTAAAATCTGTATAGGCAAAATCTGGTGTTGTTTTGATTACACCTTATATTTCACACTGTCTTAAATAATAATATTTATTTTATATTTTTTTGCAAATAGTGTAAGCCTATCAGTGAACAAGTGGATAAAACCATTGAACACTGGTACTTGGTCATGGATTTGTGCCTCTCCAACGGACTGGCCATGTGGAGTATTTTGGATTTTCTTCACATTTATAACACCTAAATAAGGTATAGTTTTCCTCAAAAGCCCTCCCTAGGCATATTGCCCACATGTTATGTTTGCTACTCTATTAATGTGATAAATATTAAATTATCATAATTATTAAATTTGATAAGAGCTAGCACGTAACATCTATCTCTGATACCAAATTACTTAAAATTTAATTATTAATAGTAGCAAAAAATAGACCAATACATTACAACAATCATTTAGCTTTGATTAATAAAATGATTTGAAATGTTTACATGTATATATACACCATGCCTGGATAAAGCAATAACTGTCTGAGTGCCATAGTGGATGATTATAAAGGCTGTGGGTGTAGGATTTGTCCCCAGTCAGTCACATGAGTAACTGTAGATGTTTATATAGAGAATTAATTAAATATGTCTAGAGGCAAAGAATCACTTGGAGATCTGACTAGCATAACTGGCAATGTAGCCTCACAGTAAATGGGAGTTGCAGGTTTAAATCCTGCTCTGGGTCAATTCTTTTCTTACAGACTATTCTAAATTATTTAATAAATATTAAATTTGGTAAGAGATGGCACCTAATGTCTACCTCTATTACCAAATTACTTAAAATTTAATTACAAATAGTAATGAAAAATAGCCCAATACAGTACAGCAATCATTTGGCTTTGATTAATAACATTGGGTTTTCAGATGTTTATACAAAGTCTCTGTATTTGGTTAAATAAAATTTTTATTTTTCATATTAATTTTCAGATTGTTATATTTGAAGTGAGCACATGAGGAAACTGTCCATAATATTGATAATTGAAAAAGTGCTGCAACTATGCTACCCTATATCATATCAGCCTTGTCTTTTCTGCCCATCCACAGTAATGTCTGAAGCTTATTTGCTTGTGGTGACGTAGTATGTAACTTTGAATGAAAATATCTGAAAATAATTATGAATAAATAATAATTTCAATTAACCACATACAAGAGTTAAATCTACATAGACTTAATTTTTGCTAAACAGGAAATGATGTCACTTTTTAAAATTTTTTATTTATAAGCTTTAAATGTGAGGAATAATAATAATAATAATAATGTTAATAATACTGTAAAATAAAATAATTTTGTTATATAAAAAAAAAACTAAAATTGCAATGGTTTGAGCCTATGTTGTGTAGGTTCAAACAGCAGTGCCTAGCATCTTACCCACTTGGCTATTGTCATTAGAAGAAACGAAACTTCTGAAGACTTATAAGCAAAACACAATTTTCAGAGAACCATTTTTTGTAAACACTTGAGAAATGGATCCGATTATTTGGACAAGGAGCTGTTTGTGTTTAGGGCCTATGTGCTCACCAAGTTTTGTTCGAATCAGAAACCCAAATGTCTGGCAATCTTGCAATTATATATTTGAGTTCAGTCAACTGTCAGTTGGAAATTAACTATTCTCATAGCAGCTGAAGCAGACGAAAGTATTTTACAGACTAATTTATTATATTATTCATCAAATTGTTACTTTTTGCATTTATTGTATTTAATCTTTTTCTTTAAAATGAATAAATTTAAATCCATTTTTGAAAATTAAATAATGAAAGTGAAATTTTTTTGGCTAATTAAGATGTATGTTTCTTTATGTACTCAAAATTTTTTCCAACATAAATTAGTTATATCCATTTTTGGATTCTCATCATAAATTTTAGTATAACTTTCTCTTTATAAGAGAAATTTTAGATTAAAATATTCAGTTACCCGGTGATTTCTTTCTTATAAAAGGAATCATAGACTGACATTTAAAAAACAGACAAGCGAGTGTCAGATTCGCACATTTCAAATTCATCAGAGTCAACTATTTGTATATTGACTCCATTACACTGCTTAAGGGTAAGACTATAACTGTTATTAACTGTAGCCAGAAACACTTCAATATTAGATCTATTTCTCCATATAATTAAGATATCATCTACATACCTAGCAATAGGACTACTTGTTGGAGTAACTCAGGGTAGTTTTGATCTTTCTAATGTATGTATAACTAAGTCACATGAATCCCTTATGAGAGATTCATGTGACTTAGTTATTGGAATTAACAGATTAATGCCTACTGGAATTCCTACCCTAAAAAGGTAGGTCATTATATCTAACAAATGAGATGTAGCAGGGCTAGTTCTAGAATCTGCAGATAGTAATGGGATGAGAATTTCAAATGTTCCAAAAGGAAAGTTCTTCAAAAAAGCAGAAACAGGGTTGTAAGTATATCTAATGTCAGATATTATGATATATTCATCATCTATCAAAACATGGAGCACAGCTTACAATGCATCACTGGGCCTAAGCGGCCCAGTGATGCATTGGAAATCTGTATATGATCTCCTATGTAACTATTGGAAAATGGTCATCACAAAATTGATACAAAGAGATAGTTTTGATGGATAATGAATGTATCATAATATTTGACTGTTTTCCTTCACCCATCCATATGCTTACAACCCTGCTTTTGCTTTTTGAGAAACTTTGAAAAATGTAGCTATTTTATTACCTTTCTTTATACATATATGGTGGGTGATTGGTTAATGAACAGTTTGGTTAACGAACAAATCGGATAATGAACACTTTCACAAAAGGTTTTTATGTTCGGACAACAAACACATGATCGGATAACAAACACCTCACAGAACAAACACAAGAAGAAGCGATGTAAAATAATGAATACCGATTGGTCTTCCATTGTCTTCAGACAACAATTCAAAACTTTTTGGAGTGCAACAGATGTCGACATCGATGCTCAACCAAGTATATACTGATCGAATAGTATTCCTCCAAACTTTGAAATTCTCCCTTGTAATTCCAGCCTTTTATTTTTCTGACAAACAATTGTTTTATAGTATTTGCGACACTGTTGGATGGGCACTTGTTAAGTTTTGCGTTGGTTTTTATTTTTGAAAAGTGAGAGTATAATAGCAAAGGTAGAGAGTGGGCAAATGTCTGATGTTACTGGGCTGAGTATGGCTCAAACAGGTCTACAGTAGGCTGCAGTTCAATCTTACCTAAGAAAGATAACAGTATAATCAAGAAGACTCAAGCAGATTAAGGAGTAACAAAAATCACATCTGAGAAATAAACAACATTGAAGGAACATTGAAATGGAACTCATAATGGAACCTAAAATTGATCTGACAACAGAAGAACGCCAAGAATTCTTGAATGACAAACACCAAGAAACTTGGCAAGATATGTTTTCTTCTGAAAAAGAATATTAATGCCAATATCTGCTATTAAAGATCTTATGAAGTGGGAGGATGTCAGAACAACAGTCTTAGAATGGCATCCAAACCAGGTTGAGGTTAATAGGCTTAGGGATCTCTACAATTACAATGCTATTAATTACTTCTGAAAAATCCTGAAGAAGAGAGAAAAGCAATCGACATTAGACAGATTCTTTAACCCCCACAAACAGAAAAAACATGACTAATAAAAATGCAAGACTGTGTATATATGTATTTTTTTTTTATTATATAAAAATAAATGTAGTAAGAAAGTGTATATTTTTTATTTTTTGGAGTCTCTGGAACGAATTAATCAAATTCCCATAAAAACCTACGGAATATCAATAATCTGTTAATGAACAAAGTCTTAGAAAGGATTATGTTCATTAATTGATCACCCACTGTATATATTAAATATATATCCTGGATATTTCTGGCATTGACACATTCATTTAATTCAGTCACCTGGATTAGTTGTAATGCTGATGCATCATTCTCTTCAACTGATGTCATTTGACATCAGCTCAAAAGAAAGTGCAAATTGCATGATGGTACGCTGAGATAAACTTTGTGCAAGTTCAGCAAAACTTTCATTATGAGTTTGGAAAGGATCCTCCATCAAAGCATGGAAGGAACAATTCCTGCCACACAAGGAGTGTGTTAAAAGGTCATGGATGTGGAAAACCCTGACTGTCAAATGAGAATATAAAGACAATCAGGGAGCCTTTCCAATGAAGCCCACAGAAGTCCATTTATCAGGTAGCAAGACAACTCAGAGTTAATCCCTCAACTGTTTATGTGGCGCATCACAGATTATGCAATTTCTACGCAGCAAGAGTAAAACATGAAGAATTTATGATTTTATATAAAAAAAAAGGCATAAAATTAGAACTGTATCAATTTTTGCAATAAACTTGATGAGTTTGCCTTCAAATTGCATACCCTAATTTTACTGTAATTATTACCTAATTTTACTTACAACCTTTCAAAATATGTCAGTCTCAATCAGGATATTCTTTTTATCTAAAGCTTTGTCTCGTGATAGCTATATTTTTTATATTTTCTTTCATCTTATATACACAGTTTCTAAACTGTACAACTCAAAATTTAAATTGTATAAATACAATTTGAATTTTTAGAGTAACTAATACCTTACTGCTCTACCCCAGTAATCCCCAGCACATACACTGTTTTTCATTTCTGTTTCTCATTTATATATAATTTGGTATTTTATGCTCTTTTATATAAATACTAATTTATTTGTAACATTCTAAATTCATTGAATATATATGAATTAGACTAATCACTGCTTCATGCCTTCAATGCATCATAAAGATTTAAATATGCATCACATTTAAAATGCCATAAAATTTTAATATATTAAATATTTTTGTTCATAAAATGTAATGACAGAAAGTAATTACTAAAAAGCAAATATAAGTTTAAATTATCATCATATCTTCCTCAATTAACTATTTACTTTCTCCAATAATTAATTAATAAAATATAAATATCACAGCCACATTTAAAATAAGAAATAAAGCTCTTACCTGTTATCCTTTCCTGGATATTTCTGGGAGTACAATACTCTGAATTTACGAGCAAAAAGCATAAAACCATTCATTGGACGTTTTGGTTTTACCAATTCTGTTAAATTATCTTTTGCCTTGTTTTTATGTTTAGCAGGATAAATGTAACTTTTTAATTCTGTGAACTTCTGTTGCTAAATTGGACAAAGTTTCAATTATAACTAATACCAAAACAATAGAACAGTTTTTTATTAATGAAAAAAATTTATATCTTGTATATATGTAATGATATTACAAACTAATTTTTTATTATACAAATTAATTTAATAAATATAATTAGTTTTTTAATTTTAAGCTTCTTTCTTCCAATGAATTACTTAATTATCTAAAACTTCCAATTAGTGGAGACATAGGAGACTTATCACACTGTATTGAAGTGACAAAATAATTGAGATCACATCATTAAAAGAGTAATTTTAGTCGTGGAATGCATTTGTTTGTGTATAACTTAGGTATAAATAAAAAAGTAGCTGAAGAGGGTCTGTATATGACCATCTTCAGTAACTTTTTTATTAATATCTAAGTTAAAGTTTGCAATTTGTAACTATCAATATAAAAGTGGCTGAAGAGAGTCTATATAAAACTGAAATGCATTACATAAATAAATTTAGTCTTTTAACAATGCAATCTCCAATATTTTATTTCTCCAATAGAGTTTGATAATTCTCCTATATCTCCACTAATTGGAAGTTTGAGATAACTAATTAATAATTAGTTTTATTTATTTTTCAGCAGCATTCACATAAATTATAAAAAGTAATTGAATTAACTGACACTTACAGAAAGTAAAAAAAAAATTAAGTAAGAAAGAGAACAAAATTCTGTTAATAATAAAAACAAAACTATATCTTAAAATCTTCTGTGAAATTGGAATTTATTGTTTCTTCATTTTTCATTAGTTAGACTAAATAAAAGCGCATTTTTGTGAATTTTAATCAGTATACCTGACATTAAATTTCAATATATATTGATTGCATAGTCTTTTCACTGCTTTCTAATATATTTAATCTATATATATAAGGACCTTGAATAAGTTCTCGCTGTTTTTTGTGAAAATTAACACTTTATTTTAAAAAAGTCGTAATAAGCACGTCACTGAAAGTATTGTCCATCACTAGCCACTACTTTCTCCCATCGTTCTGGCAGCATTTGAATTCCATGTCGGAAAAACGTCACGTTTTTTGAGGCTATCCAAGAATCAACCCATTTTTTGGCATCTTCATAAGAACGAAAGTGCTGCTCAGCCAGGCCATGTGACATCGATCAGAACAAGTAATAATCGGAAGGGGCGATGTCTGGTGAATATGGCAGGTGGGGTAGGACTTCCCATTTAAGCATTTCCAAGTACGTTTTCACCGGTTGTGCAACATGTGGCCGAGCATTGTCATGTTGCAAAATCACTTTGTCGTGTCTCTGCTCATATAGCGGCCGTTTTTCCTTCAATGCTTGGCTCAAACGCATCAATTGTAGTCGATAGCGATCTCCCGTGATAGTTTCGTTTGGTTTGAGCAGCTCGTAATAAACTACACCTAGCTGATCCCACCAAATGCAGAGCAGAAGCTTCGAACCATGGATATTCGGCCTTGCTGACGATGTTGATGCATGACCGGGCTTACCCCACGATTTTCTACGCTTAGGGTTATCGTAGTGTATCCATTTTTCGTCACCCGTCACGATACGATGCAGAAAACCTTTCCTTTTCTGCCGTTGAAGCAGCTGTTCACATGTGAAAAGACGGCGTTCGACATCTCTCGGCTTCAACTCGTACGGCACCCAATGTCCTTGCTTTTGAATCATTCCTAATCCTTTTAAACGTTTCGAAACTGTTGTGTGATCAACTCCTAATGATTCTGCAAGTTCAGCTAGCGTCTGACATGAGTCTTCATGGAGTAATGCCTCTAATTCCTTGTCTTCAAACTTCTTTAGTGGACCAGATCGTTCTTTATCTTCAACATCAAAATCATTATTTTTGAAGCGTCTAAACCAATCTCTGCATGTTGTTTCCAACAGAGCATGGTCGCCGTAAGTCTCAACAAGAATTCTGTGTGCTTCTGCTGCAGATTTTTTTTGAATAAAATAGTGCAATAAAATTCCCTGCAAATACTCTTTTTTTTGGCACGAAACTAAACATGTTTAACACAATGAAAAAATAAGTTGTTTAACACTTCGGTGAAATGACGTATACTGAATTTCAAGGTGACTTATCACCATCTAAAAATAAACACACGTGGTTCTGGTAATGCCATCTGTTGGAAAACAGCGAGAACTTATTCAAGGTCCTTATATATAAAAATGAATGTGTGTGTGTGTCTGTCCTTCATGCATTACCACACCGTTTATCCGATTGCTGTGAAACTTTGGGAAGTTGTTTAATATACTCCCACGAAGGTTTCTGGCATAGTATGATTGCCATGAAACTTTGGAAAGTTTTTTAGTACACTCCCACGAAGGTTTCTGGCATAGTACATTTATCCTACAATAGATGGCGCGCGTTATACGAGCATTTTACTGTGTGTTCAATCGATTTCAAATTGTGAAGACCATTTCCCCCTCCAAAAAATATCTCTATATATGCATTTGTGAACTGTTATTTATGATATTTGTAATAATTTTTGTTTAATCACTTTATTTCAATTTTTTTTTTTTTGCTAATTATGTATTCGCTCGAACTTTGTTAAAACCTTAACTGTATCCCGAACAACAACCGAAGTTGTAGGAGGAAATTCGCCTATTTTACCGATCTAGGGATCCCCCTTTTCCAAATTTTAATATCAACTCAAAATAATTTAAAAAGACAAATTACAATAAAACGGTTTATTATCCAACTATCAGAAATTTCACAACATGGCAAGGAAGAGAGGAAGGAGCAAATTAAATAATTAAAATTATAAAGGATTAAAAAAAATATATAAAAATGGGGAATATCGCACTTCTGACAATCACTGCAAGTGTGTAGGCTAAATTTGGAGAATCCGTGCTTCTCGCATGGACAACTGTATGTGGCCAGCTCACGCATCGGAAAACCTTCTGATTTATTCGTGTACGCACCAGATGGAAAAAACAAAAAATATCGTGTATCCACAAGCACTCCAATAAATAAATAGAATTGAAATGACACTTTGAAATGTTTTCCCAACGAAAATGAATAATAACAATAAGTGTCAATAAAAATGATAAAATGTAAATTGAATTTTATTATAATGAGTTGGCTTGAATTTTGTTTCTTCTGAGATTGCAGCAATGCGCGACGGGTAAGCTAGTAGCAAATAAATATATTTTATCATTTAATAAAGTTAAGATTTTTAAATTATACTCTTTCAGAAATGAATCTAAAATGATTAAACAAACTTAAAACATTGTAATAATAAACCGAACATTAATAAATAGCTTTAAATGCATGAACCAATATCCTTTTTAAAGTTTTAACATTTTTAGAATAATTTCAATCACTTTCCTTAAAGTACAAATAAATAAATTAATTAAATTTAAAAATAGAAAACAGATACATAATTAAGCTCTGCCCAAACTTGAGATTAAGGCCAATTTTTTTTTATGTTTTGTTTTATTTCATTTATATTTCAAGTCTAATCACCGATCTAAAAAAACTATTCCTATCCCCTAATATTACTGTCTAACTAAAAGATTCAAAACTTGATACTGAATGTGTAATTTCCTAAACATCTTCATAAATCATTCTCCATTTATATTTTAATCTAATTTTGTGTTGAGACATCTTTCTCTTCTTATTTGATGATTCTTTTAAATAAGTTTTGATAGGGTATATTTTAATAAACAAGATAATCAAATTTTGTTTTTAACCTACTGTATAACAATTTTTATATTTTTTTGTTAAATTTAAAAGAAAATATTTTGATACTTTTCTTTAATTGGTTGCTTTTAACAAAGTATGGGTCATAAAAATAAATGTGTTTTGTCTTTATTTTTTAAATTTAAAAGGAATTATACTCTAATTTTTTAATAATTTTTTTGTAAAAAATAATTATTATTATACAATATATTCTGAATTATTTAGTTGTAAAAAGTGTGTTTATTAAAATATTATATGTGCATGCAAATAAAATCTCTCTCAGATAATTTAAATGCAAAAAATCTCATTTTTAGATATATTTCATAGTGTTTCAAGCTGTTTAAAATTTAATTATCTGTCATCAATTTTTAGAAAACTGCTAAAATAGTTATATATTTTATTAAGAAAAACCTTGTTAGAGAAAGTTCTGAATAATTTAATTTTCAAATTTTTCCCCTCTCTTTCATAAATGTGAATACAGTGATATCCCAAACTTACGCGATAGGTGAGACCAAGTGATAACCGCGTAAGTCAAATTCGCGTAAGTCGGGGTATAATTTCGCAATTTGTGTAAAATTCAAGTCGGATGTATGTAAGCTAATAAATGTTCTCGTTAATCTTATCTTGTCTTTTGATTCGTTCATGGTTACAAGAAATCAGCACATAGAGTCTCTGAAGGCTCTGTAGATATAACAAACACAGAAATAAATTGTAGCTATGTGTCGATTCCGCAAGACACATCCGAACATGTAAGCTGAACAATAGTGTGGGGGGAGTCAGTAATTGAGAGTTGCATGGCGCTCAAACAAAAGACGAATCAATGAGATTTGAAAATCGCGTAACTCTGGGTTCGCGTAAGTTGGGGTAGCGTAAGTCGAGGTATTACTGTATACAAGAAGATAATAATAAAATTACATTATATCATTGGCTATTTATAATTATTTCAGTATGATGAACAAGAATTATAAAATTGGTCATGAAAGATAACTTCCATAAACATTCGGAGAGCTTAAAAATTTACAAATTAACAAGGATAAATCCATAAAGTTTAAAGACCACAGATTATTTCTCAAGCATGAAAAGCATGGGGTGATATCCTAGTGAATAGGACATATTAATTAAGTTTTTCTGATATTTAGAAAGACAATATTTTGTAGTGTGTTATATATCTGTTTTTTTTCCACTGGGTTTAAACAACATTAAAATTGTATGTTAGCCTGAAGATGGCTAGTAAAAATAGCTGAAAACATTTGCTTAATTTGCATTAAAGTATACAATTGCTGATTTAAAAAGTTATATGACTTATTTTTATAATTATTTCTCTGAAAGTAAGATTTACATGTTTTAGAATTTTCAATTTTGATGTTTAATTAATGTAAAACTGTACATTAAAAAGTATCTAATTATAAAACAAATTTTTATTTGATTACTTGACTTAGAATAATCATTCTATGATACTAAACTAATTTAATAATAATAATAATAATAATAATCTTTATTTGGCGTAAAAGGCTTTCGCCTGTTACAAGGGCATTTGATTTTTTAACAATGCGTATTAACATCTCATATAATCATGTCTTAACAACACAATACTAAACTAATTAAAAAAGATAAAAAGTTATACTTAAAATTATTTAAATATTATATAAAAATAAAGATATGTTAATTTATATTTTTTTGTTATTACTAACCTGAGCCATTGTACTTAAAGTGTATGCAGCTGAGGTATCCTCAGGTGTCAAATCAGTCCTAAAAAATTTTAATTAAATGTATCAGAAAAAATTACTATTATTATTAATTAAAATGACAGCTTATTTTACTAGTTATTTGATTTAACAAAATTAATTATTTCTACTGATATTAATATTATTAAACTGAATTATTTTAATTTAAAATTTTAATAATTTTATGTTTATCTTTAATTAAAAAAAAAATCAAAATTTTACTGCAAGAAAGAATTCAGTAATTTTACATTATAAAAAGTTTTATGATGAATTAATCAAATCAAATGAAATATACTTAAACAACCACTCAAACAATATACTTATTCCTCTTTTTATGCAATTGATTTTATTATATGGGAAACCCACCGTTCCCAACTTCATACTTTAAACATTTTATTCCTTTTACTACTAAATACAGTAGAACCTCGCTTAACAAGCATAATTCGTTCCAGAATCTTACTCGTAACGCAAAACACTCATTAAGTGAAACAATTTTTCCCATATAAATTAATGTAAAATATGACTAATGCATTCCATGCCAAAAAAAATACTCAAATATTTTAGATATAACATTTATTCAAAGAAAATTATACAATATTCATTGTTAAGGAGCATGAATCATCATCATTATTTCTTCTAGCATGGAATGAACCAACCTGGAATGCAATTTGATTTTCAGAAAAAAAAAAAAAAAAAAAAATTTTATTTGGAACAGGTCATTAAATTTAATATGAGATGGCAGCATAACTGCCTACCTCTAGTCAAATTATTTAATTTCTAATATTTAATTATAGCCTTTACATAGCCCAAGAATTTAGCATATTGTTTGGCATGTTTATTGTATAAAGGAGTATGGTTGTTGATGTTTATATGTAATATTTGTTTGGAAAAATGTGTGATCACAAGCAACACTAAGATGCTAGCGAAATGAGTGCTAAACACAGACTGATGTAACATGCACACAATCCAGGACTTCCCCTCTTCTCATCACTCATTATGCAAAATGTTACTTGTTAAGCAAGTCATTTTTTACAATTTGTTTTGCTCATTAAGCAAGGTTCCACTGTATTTTCAAACTTTTGAAAATAATTAATAAATAGTTGTCAATTTGATAGTTATTTGATAAATATTATTATAAATTATAAAAATAACACTAATTCAACACTGGAGTGTAGTAAACTAACAATATCTTCAAACCTGTTACTGGTATGTTCTCCACCAATGACTGACAACGTAAAAATATACAGTTCGTTACTAATGTTTTCGAACTGAACAGGTTCTTCTTCAGGTAATGTTGAATTCCTGATGGAATGCAGAATGAAGAAAACAAATTTGAAACTCAAACATGCGCTTCTCAATTAAGTCTTCTTGGGCATGTGCTTCCCAGTGCTTGACAGTAATCATGAATTTTTGTCCATAAGTGCCTGCCACACCACTGATAGATTTATCTCTTCCTTGTGATTGATGCAGTTATTACTGCTAAGGTTAGCTATGCACACAGCCTCTAACCACCTGAGGTGGTGTGCATGTTGTGTAGTAAGGATAATCCTCGCTTGATTAAAATCTGGCTCTATGTCTGGATCCAATGCGTAAATGGCTAGAGCAGTGGTGGTCCTTTCATTCTGTATATCAGCTGAGTGTTCTTTCAATCTAACTCCTAAGGAGCACTTCGTAGAGCCTAAGTAGATTAGGTTTCTATTGCATCTGTGATCCATAATCGGGATGGTGTATACACTGGGGAGTCTTTTCTGGTCAGGCTCATCTTTTCCGTTACATAGGATGTTAAAAACAGATGTACATCTACTGTAAGCAATGCGGATGTGTCTCTTTTTAGTTATCTCAGTATACAGCGATCTGAGATAAGGGTTGTAAGTGACCAGAATGATTTCATCTTTCTCAGGATGGTCTTCTACCTGGGAAAGGACTTGGGCAGGATTTTGGTACAGGTGAAATTTGTCAATCAACCTGCAAGTGAGCCTGTGGTATCCGTGTTCATTAGTGTTGCATAAGGCTTAGCTCAGTCTGGAGAGCTTGCTGCGTGGATGCGTGCACGTGTGCTCTCTTAATTAAGCCTTCAAAGGCTGCAACTTTATACTGTGGTGAGTCACATGAGCCCACTGGTATGTACAAGCCCGTCAATCCGGGTTTACGGTACACCCCCATATGGATTGCCGTCCCTTTAATCTTGATGCTAATATTGAGGAAATGGTCCTCTGTGGGGTGTGCTTGATCTATTTCAAGGGTCAAGCCATACAAGTTGTCATTAATGGAGTTGACAAAAGCTGAGATGTCCAGAATCTCCTTCCAAAAAATGATAATGTCATCAATGTACCTCTTATATAACATGATGTTGTGGTGGTGTGGGAGGACCTTGGATTCCAGTTGCCTAATCACCATCTCACACAAGTCCACTGAGATGGGACTTTCCATCGGGACTCCTCTACCTTGCGCGTATACTATACCGTTAAATTGAAAAATGGATTATAACATAATAGACTTGCCAGCTCCAATATTTTTACATTGTCAGTCGTTGGTGGAGAACACACCAGTAACAGGTTTGAAGATATTGTTAGTTTATAAATAGGTAATAAATAAATAGTTGGAGAGTTTAAAATTTTTTCTGAAATTACTATCAAAATTTTAATAATTTGAATTATTTTTTAAAATGACTTAAATTTTTAAATTCTATTTTCTACCTTGAAATATTTATAATTGTTTTAACACTAACACTAATGGCAATTTTAAAGTTTCTATAAAAATGTTTAAAAATCAATTGAAATCAGTTTATTCAATGAAGATTTTATGCTTTATTAGAAATCATCATGGAACTATTTGACATCACAGAATAATACTTATTCATAAAGTGTACTTTAAGTTTATAATTAGTTGCTTTGTCTAATCATTCTCTAAAAACCAAATTTTATACTTACTGGTTGTACTTTTGATATATGTGTTCTTCAAAATGATATGTATTTCTTTGTTTAATTGTTGATTTCACTTCAGACACATCTGTTGTTGCTTTGGGAGGTCTGGCATAAGAATGCAAGGAAGACAAACTAAAAGATCTGAAAATTCAAAACACCAATTAACTTAAATAAATCTTCATTATTTTTTTTAATTAGAGACTAATATTAAAAAGAATTTGTTTAATACATGTAATAAAAAATTTTTTGATGATGCCTTTAACAAATTCTTAAATTATCGAAGTACTTTGTTGTAATAAAACTGAGTAAAGAATAATCTTTATCAGGAAACTCCATACCTTTTTCTTTTACAGATGCTTTCAGAGATTAAGAATGTCATCTTTAACAAATGCTTTAAAAAAAAATGAAACTTAAGGTAATGAAGCCATTAAAAGGACAACCTTTAATAAAAGTAACCAGTTCTTCCTGAATACATGTTACAAAAGATGAAAATACAAAAATATAAATTAGTCTTAATTAAGTATAATTTCATAAAGCATAAGAATAAAACATAAATAATGTTTAAGTCTTAATTTAAACATTCCATAAGTCTTCCTCAAATGTTTCCAGGGTTTAAGCTGTCGCTAATTTTTTTGATAAAATGCTACAAGAATTTAGATGTTCAAGTATTTTATTATTATAAGTAAACATACTAAATATTAAAAATAATTTTATCTAATATTTTTTCAATTAAAATATAATTTTGTTTATATTTTAAACTGTTTTACCAAAACTTAAAAATATTTTTATTGACTGCTGGCCCTATTTAAAATTGCCAGCCAAACCAACCCAATACGGGGCAGGTAGAAACATTAATGTCACCTTATCTCTCCCAAAATGGAACAATTTGTACCGACTGAGTATAATCTCTCATTGCTCCAACTACGCAAAAGAAAAGCCCACCTTAATAGACATCACCTTGTGTATGGGGCATCATGCATTCTCTTCTTTGTAGACATGAAAGTTTCCAATAAACAAATACTTAATTGTTAATATTGTAATTTTAAAAACAATTTCTGGAGTAGGATTTGTTTAAAAGATCTTTCACTGTTAGATGTAAGGATATGTAACCTGCTAAAGTTTATAAAATGATAGTTGTAAATGACCTTCTCTCAGATTATCCTCATATAAACAACAGTTATTGAATGTGTTCTTTCACATCCAGTGCACACTGTTGTGTGTGAAAGGTTTCAGTGAGACAACATTAACAAAAACTCCAATTGGAAACTGTCTTGATGTAACAAATGTTAATTATCTCCATAAATAGCCTCCCAGGATGGGAATTTGATTTTCATTCAGCAGTTGTTGCCTGGTGTGAATCAAAACCAAGAAGAATTGTTCAATAATGCAAGATACTTGTGGATTGTAGCAATAAATTTACGGTTATATTGGTAGTGCAGTACACTAATAATGGACAGTACCAATGAGAATAAACAAATGTTTAAACAATAGTGTATTGTGTATTGTTCTGGGCAGCCTCACAAATGATAAATGTTAGCTACAGTTTGTTAAATTTTGCTAAAACTTTTTTTCCTAAAATTAGCTAAAATGCTACAGAAAACTTTTTCCCAGCTTAAATCCTGACAGTTTATATTTTTAAACTGTTAAAACTATAAAATATATGCAACTGTAATTCTTATATTAGATCAAAATTCAAATTAAAATATTCACAACAGTTACAACAGAACTCCAGATGTGTATTTCCTATCTCACTTTTTCTACAGTTTAAACATTCTGTTCTCTATGAATGATATCATCCAAAGATTGAAGTTATATACTGTCAAAAGTACCTGCAAAATATATATTCTTCTGTAATGCTGATAGACAGTTGTGTGACTTAGCTTTTTACATTAGTATTTGGCATCCACAGTTATTTCTATTTTATTGATTTCATTCTAAACCATTAAACAAGTTGCTTTAAGCTGAAGACTGTCAGATATTTCACCAAAATATCTCATTTTTTCATTAAAGTGTTGGCTATCTGAACTAAGTAGTAATTTAATTTATCTATCAACAAAGTGCCAATTTTTGTGAAGTTTTTGTGTACAATATAAATCTTTTACAATTATTGCTTCTTTTCCATTTAAATGTTATACTGCTTTCATAAAAGAACTGCTATTTAATTAAATTAATACAACACCAACAATATTATTAATAATAAAAGAGTCTAACTTTAATAATGATCTAATTTTAACACAGTTGAACCTGTCTATCATGAATCTCATAGAAACAAGAAAAATATTTGATATGTATGTTACTGTGAATGACCGATATCTGGCAAATGTCAACATTCTCCGGTGAATGTCAGCATTCACACAGTCGTTTTGTGTATGTGTTACCGCTAAAGCTCGAAATCCGTTAATGTGCACATTACCTAGCTAATCTGCACATTAACTAGGGTGATCCGTTAAAGTTGCTAAAATTGTTCTATTTCTCAAATTACCTAGGTAATGTGCACAGTATCTAGGTAATCTGCACATTACCTACTAGGCACTCGGTAAAGTGAAAATAAGATTTTTGTTGGAACAACAGCAACATTTCTGTACGCTTAAATTAACATAATGTTATTTATTTAATTTTCAATATCCAAAGAATCAAGTTAAAGTTTAATGGAATTTTTTACATAGACTTATAATGGGAATCTGAAATTTGACGTATTGTCATTATTGTTTTTTGAGAAGAACTTCTGTGCAAGGTATAATATGGTTAAGATATGCTGGGTCAATTTTTCAAGAAAAATAGGGGTAAAAATAGGCATTTTAAAAAATTTGGCAAAAAGAACTTTGCCGTATTTCGAATGTTGGGTAGACGATCTTTGACCTCCGAAATCTCCCGTTCTAAGAACTTTAAAATTTGTCCTCTGTCACAACACGCCATTTTATTAGCAAAATTTCGTTCGAGTCGCTACTTCACAAGATTTGTCAATTTGAGTCGTAATTCAAAACCACTAAAGTTTAATAGCATCAATGCCTCTTATCCACAAGCTATAACAAGGGGACAATAAGATGTCTAGAAGTTAATATCTCAGGATGCGGAAATGATTAAGAAATAAACTTTGATACTGTAGCTTGTGTATAAGAGGCATTGATGCTATCAAACTTTGGTGGTTAGAGGTCAAGAGGGTAGGGAGATAGAGGGTGGGTCACGTGTGATATTTCAAGAGGGTTGGGGTTAATAGATTTTACTTGTTACTAGCATTTGTAATTTTTTTTTTATAAAACTCGTTTCTACACTTAAAATTAATCCTTTTGCGATTTTATAATAATTAAAAATACTGTATGAAAAGTTTACATAACAAAATCTCATAACAGATGGCGCCACACACAATTTTATTTATTATAATATAATTAAAAGTATAAAAGTTATCTTCTAAATAAAATCTCACAACAGCCGAGAAAGTTACGCATCTCGTTGCTATTGATAAATTTTTAAAAATAAAAACAATTACATTTCTTGAAACGAGCGATCTTTTTCTCAGTTTGAATATAGAAAGATCTATATTTCATTGTTTCGTGTAAAATACATACACGATATTTTCTATCGGTCAGGTGAATTCATAAAATTTGCTTATTTAATAACACTAATTAACGTTTACGTAACTAAACTATAATACGCATATTTAATATAATCGATGACGTCAGGTAAGCGCTCTTAAAATGGCGTCGGATAAACGAAATATTACGAAATTCAGTAAAAATTGCGCTGTCGGTCAATCGGAAACTTCGTCGGAAAATACCGGACGAACGAGAGGGAGGATTTCTTCTAGTTTTGGGGGTGGCGAGGTAAAGATGACGTTCGATTTTAGAAAATCTCGCTTCTAACCCCTTGTGGAGAATGGAAACCGAAGGCGGAGGGCGGTAGGGAGAGTCTCGATCCCAATCCGTCGTCACTCGGGGGATAGAAACGTGAAAAATGCAGATATTTAGCCTTAAAATTCAAAAAGAATCCGTGACGTCAATCGCATTCGAATTCGTTGCGAGCTTTCTAATCTCGCAACAATTGCCGTTTCTATGGAAACGCGTATTGTTGCAACACGATTTTGCGTCACTTTGCACGTTTTTCGCTTGCCGGACGGACGTGTGCGCTCTTTGCTCTTGTTTCTGCTGTGTTTTTTGCCTTTTTTCTGTGTTTTTTGCCTTTTTTACGTGGTTTTAAGAAGACTTGTGGACGCCGACATTACACCAAGTAAGATTTTAATTAGAATTTAGCTAGCTGTAAGATTTTATTTTCGTTTCGTTTAGTCCAACTTTCGGAGACGACATCGGCCGACTCGGACTTTGCATATTTGCGTTTAAATCTGCCGTCGCTTGTGTTTTTCGTTTGAATTACCATCCGAAACGCACCTCTTTCGACTTTTAAACGAGCCGCCACATTGGAAAGCGACCGAAGCGCCGAAAACGACGGAGGCAAAGGATTAAGTATTTGTTCATTGGTTTATTTTCGTAATTAATTAATTTAGATTATATTTTATAAACACGGTGAAAGAATAAGGATTATTTGCAAATATCTTATTTATAGAAATTCGATTAAAACTTATTTAATACTAACTCTAAATACGAATTGCGTATCGTAATTTTAACTAAAATATACACTCGAAACCGGATGGACCGAAGGATACACGGAGACCGCATTCTGAAGCATGACACGTTCCTTCGACACATCCGGGACGTCAAAAATTTCGCCCTTTCACCTCCGACTTCTCCATTGAATCTACGTATTAGTTACAACGCTTTTCAATGGCTTACTTTGCGAGAATTAAATTATCTGCAGCTGTGCGACTTAAAACACAATCTAATACACTTAACAGTTATCTATACAGGCTGGACACAAAGAATTCTTTTCCTTAAGCTGTTTGTCTCTTTCCACAACGCGGTCTTTTCCGAGTGCAGTCCATCTTCCACACTTACGTAACCCTTTGCAAATGCTTTGTGCCACTTAAACGTTCGTGTCCCGGCTGCGGGCACGTCTTGTGTTTTCGTCGACTCTCGTACGGAATTTCTTCGCACGAAACTCTCTTAAATGCCATCGTTGCGGTTAGGTGACGCACGTTAGGGTAAATTGCTCTAGAACGAAACTTGGGCTCGAGATCGAGTACGAGTGCC